AAAACTGAAGGAGTTTTTAAGAAAACAGCAGGAACAACTTAACCAACTCACCCAGACTGTCGCTTCTCTTCAGGTTAACCCCCCCACGGGCCCAACCCCGGGCATTCTGTCCAGATCCGGTTATATGTCGTCGTTGTCGACAGCCAGGGCCAGCTAGTGTGATGGGGAAAGGGTGCACGATGATGTGCCATGCAGGCCCAACCCCACACAGAGGTCAGAAAACTAGTACCTGCTGAGGTGGAGAGCCACAGCTAATAGGGGGGTTTGATGGGCTCACAGGTAGGGGTGTCCAAATTTATTGCACCTTGTCCCACTATGGATGTACGTATGGGTGGTGTCACGGTGAAATGTTTGGATGACACCGGTTCTATGGTATCAACAATCACGGAGAGTTGTTTCTCCAGCCATTTTGCATCTTTGGGGGAGGAAAAGTTGCAGTCTTGTCATTGGCTGCAACTTCGGGCGGCAAATGGACTGTCCATCCCCTATATTGGTTATAGAGAGCTGGACGTTACCTTGTGTGACAAAGTCATCCCAGGTTGTGGGATCCTTGTGGTTAAGGACCCTCTTGGTGCAAGGTCCTCAGTTTCAAGAATCCTGGGGATGAATGTAATGAATCGTTGCTACAAGGAGCTGCTGGGGTCTAACACCCACTCAATCTTCAACCTACCTGCGGTAATGCAGTGTCCCGGTCCTGTGTCTGAAGCCCTCCAACAGTGTCATCAGGTATTCAGAAAGAACCAGAGTCCCTCGTGGGGGCCGTGAGAGTTCAGGGTTCCAGAGGGGTTAGAATCCCAGGTGGGGTGATGAAGCTGGTAGTTGGCACCTGCCCCGCAATGCTAGAGGGCCCGACTTTATTGTTTGAGCCCTCGGAAGGGGGGCTGCCTCCTGGGTTGCTAGCTTCGCCCTGTTTGGCCCAAGGGACATGAGGCAGAATTCACATCCCTGTCATCAATGTGGGTACAGTACATGTGGTTTTTTACCCACAAACCCACCCAGGGACACTAAGTTCCGTGGAGGTGGTTAGTCTCCCTCCAGGTGTTGAGGAGATTAGGGATAAAAGCGTCTGCCAAATAAATAAACATAAACATAAACATACTGTAAGTACCTGGGCCATGTCATTTCTGACAAAGGGGTTGCTACAGACCCTGACAAAATTGAAGCTGTGGATAAATGGCCACGTCCTAGCCATGTGTCAGAGCTTCGATCATTTTTGGGATTCGCCAGTTACTATAGGCGTTTTGTGGAAGGTTTTGCCAAACTTGCAGGACCTCTTCATAAATTGGTGGTCCAGTTGGCAGGTTCTAAATCCCGGAAGGGGTCGGGGCAGGCCCTTCAAGCTGCACGGACCGAAAAGTGTGAGGCTAGCTTTGAGGCTCTAAAGGCCTGATTAACTTCTGCTCCAGTGTTGGCTTATGCTGATTTTTCTCATCCTTTTATCCTAGAAACTGATGCCAGCTACTCTGGTCTGGGGGTTGTGCTCTCGCAGGAGACTGAGGACGGAGTTAGACCAGTAACATACGCCAGCAGGGGCCTATGACCCACTGAACACAACATGTCCAACTATAGCTCCATGAAGTTGGAGTTTCTGGTGCTGAAGTGGGCCACGGCAGAGAAATTTAGGGAATACCTTTTGGGGCAGCAGTGTGTGGTCTTCACAGACAACAATCCTCTGCGTTACCTTCAGTCTGCCAAACTGGGGGCTGTGGAACATTGTTGGGCAGCCCAGCTTGCTTCCTTTGACTTCACAATAAAGTATCGGTCAGGGAACAGCAACCGCAATGTTAATGTGCTTTCTCGCCAGTCAGTAGCTGGGACTAGTGCGGTGCAGCAGGTTTTGGCTGGTACCTCGGTCCAGGAGGCCCTACAGTTGGTTCCCATGGGGGGGGGTCTGTTTCTCAGTCCATGGTGGCTGCCTTGCCATCTCACACACCATTGGACCTGCACACCCTGCAGTGTTGGGAACATTACTTAAAAACATGTAATTAGTTATGGTTACTGATTACTTTGTCAAAAAAGTAACTCGAGATTATAAAAGTAACTAATTACCAAGAAAAATAACTACTTAGTTACTTTTTTCATTAAAGAATGCTAGAAAAACGGGTTCCCCTCTTAATTGAACTTACTTAATTTACCATAAATCACTACAATAGTGAAATATAAATGACTAATGACTGGAACATAATAAAATGTATGTCCAAATGTTTTTTATAAACCTGCATAATTTAAATAAATAAGCAATTAACAGGAGGAACTACTAACACGAACATTACACTTATCTAGACTATTAAAAGGTCACTGTGTGATTTTTAACAAGACCTCAATCAGCTAAAATTTAAAAAATAGAAACACCTGTAAAGGTTCCTGAGCCTTTAAATGGTCTCTCAGTCTAGTTAAATTACAGAAATGAATGTAATTTAGCACAGTATTCTAATTTTTCCAGCTTCACATAATTGTGTGTTTTTATCAGCATTTCTGTTGCTGGTAATCTAGTAATGGTTAAATAAATAAATACAAATCCTTTAAAATGACACTAGAAGAGGTACAAGCCTGATGGAGGACTTACATTTACTAACTTGGGTCAGACCCAACCACAGAAGAGCTGAAGCTGGGTGGTAAACACACACAGGTAGTTCTAATAACACCTGAGCTCCAGGACGTCTGAGACTGATGCATCAGTGTTACAGCGGGACTAAAGACATGATCAGAAACAGGTTACAGCTGGATGATCTAGGAAGGTAGAAGATCAGGACATCTGAGCGGTGAACAGTTGAGCGGACTTTCGGGACATCCTGCTGTCACGCTAAGAAGGGCACGGCTGCAGACCCACACCTGCAGCAGCGAATCTGTGGGTCTGCAGCCGTAGACTATTCATCTCGTCTTCCTCGTTCTTCACGGGCAGAGATGCGCTTGGATGAAAACATCTGCCTCTTTAGCTCCTGATCACCTGATGACAGCTTCAACACACCAAGTTGCTTAACGCACGCTTTTGCAGACTCGTCCTCTGTTTAATTCTGCAGAGAAAGAGTCTGGTAACTCACAGGCAGAGAGGCACATCAGGGGCGGGACTAGCCAGCTCCAAAAGAACCAATCAGAAAAAAGACGGAAATGCCGACTGTACCGCACAACGCTGTCGTTTTTTAGCTGCAGTCAAAAATAGTGTCTGGCAACGGATTCTTCTTTTTTTTTTTTAGAAGAAATGCTTTTAGCGCTTCTACTTGTTGTTGCTTTAAAGACATTCAAGTCATTTAGAACAGAGGAAAGAGCCACAGCGAACTCTTCTTCAGTTGCCATGTTTATGACAAACTCGGCGTTATGGTGTGTGACGTACGCTACTCAGCGCTGATTGGCTCGGTTAGAATTCTCAGGGGGTGGGGTTATTTGAATAGGAAAGTTCCCAGACCCCTTCTCTGTGCAGAATTAAACATTCGGACGTGGGTCCGAGTATGGCCCGAGTCGAGCACTTGTGTCGGACTAGAGAGGCTCGGACGTGCCCCCTGGAGGTCCAAAGGATGACTATTAGTTGCGGTTCTCGCCCTGGGTCGTGGGTCAGAGCAGGAGTCTGGCAGGCCAGGCTAGGAAATCTAACTGATAAAATTTAACTTCTGAGTGGAAAATCCCTTTAAGTTTGGTGTTCAATGTTTGCACAATTTTTTACGTATAGTTTAGATTTTTTTTTTACTACAATGTGGAAGTGTGCTTTACTTTGTGATTTTTTTCTTTTTTACTTGAAGATTCCACCTCGACCAGCCGGTATTCAGCATTATTCTTGGTCATTTTTGATTTTCTTTATTTTAAACACTTAAAGAAAACTTGAAACTGTTTCAGTTTCTGTTGCTCTGAAACAGTTTGCACATTGTTAATGTTTTGAGTTTGTTTCATATCTGAAGTTCAATAAATATTCAGAGATCTATTGACTTATTTCATTTACATTGTGTTCAGTTGTCTTTCACAATCAATAACCTGCTAAAACGTGTGTGTGTTCCTGAAAAGAAATCAGTAGGTCAGCAACAACTTAAATATACACAACATGTAATTATGTGGCTCATCAGCTGCAAATGAGAACCTGTAAATGAAGATAAGGTTTATCATGACAGAGAAAGGTGTTGGAATGTGGTATTTCTTAATAATTTGCACCTAATCTTGACTTCTGTCGCTGTGCTTTAAATTCCAAAATTCATTTTGTGGTTTTCTTTCGAACACAGAGGCTCCTGTGCAAACGCCGAGCTGCTTAAGTCAAAGAAGTCGTTGAATGTAACTGACAACATGACTGATGCAAATAAAAGAATTAAAACCTGCTGAGTCAGTGATCAACAGGTGCACACGGCTATGTCCACGAGTGTCGTTACATCAGAAAATAAGATGCAGAGGTGAAAGAAAGCTGCAGAATTCAGTAATTATTTATACTACAAGTGCTGCATGGTGAGAGCTCGACAAATACTCTCACATCTTAATTTTTCAATTAGCACGACTCTTGTTCTCTGAACATATGCAAACACAGCGGGGCATCTATTAAAATGCAACTCTAACGTTGAACCTAATTAGGGTAAATTGGTTGGCTTGTGTTCGATGGAATGTGAAATCAGACTTCTGTCTGCTGCTGCTTCATGCAAGCATCCTCACGTGGAGCGACCAAGAAGGCTTGTTTTACATTTCTGCTTTTATCTAGGCAAAAAAACATTGGATTTATGGCTTTTTTTTTGTTCTCTGTCTTTCATATTATTATTTAAACATAATCAAATCTCTTTAAAGTGTGTCCTGACTGTTCAATAATGCATCTGACCAGGGACTTGGAGAATGCACCATTTCCTTCCATTTAGCAATTCTCTGCTTTCTCTTTGGCTTCATCATCACTTCACAGTAGGAAATAACTCAAACTAATAAAATGCAGCTGACGTGACGCTCAGATCAGAGTGGATCAGAGTATTTTTTGCCAACGCCACTGGAACATCAGAGAAGGCTATAGTATAGCAGGCAGCAGGCCAAATGGACTCTGTGCA